TTCAGTGTATTCATTTCGATCTTATGTCTTGATTTGCAGATATATTCATAATCTCATTTATCCAAGCGATGGGCAATTCTCATGATAACAAGAGTCACCCTAAAAAGATTAAGCGTCCAAAACCGTTGAACGACAGTCAAATTAAGGAGATAGCACAACTAACGGGATTTACATCTGATCAAGTTAAACAATTACGTGCGGGCTTCTTGGTAAGATTTTATTCAAATCATCCGTTTTTATTACTCGACTAGCCGTTTGTTTGTAGCAAGACTGTCCAAGTGGTAAACTGGATCAGAAAAACTTTATTGCACTGTACAAAGTAAGTAGTCGATGACACGATGATCTTAAACAAACACTTAGTAATACCGAATTCGTTTCTCTCTTCTTCATAGAACTTTTATCCAACAAACGGACATGCTGATAAATTTTGTGAATATGTTTTTAATACATTTGATTCAGATGGATCAGGAAAAGTCGGTAAGAACTAACTTAAGCTCTCTTTCTCTCAGCTTTAAAAAACAAACTCGTTGAAATCTTATTCTCTCTCCACCTAAACACAGATTTCATTGAATTTTTACTTGCCACCAGTCTTATAACACAAAAAGATCCGGTGAAGAAATTGGAATGGGCATTCACCATGTATGACCGTGATAAAAGTGGATCGATTAGTCGAAAAGAAATGAAGAAGATTATGGATGTAAACTAGACTAATTAATAAAAAGATTTCTTTCTAAAGTGTATTCTCTCTCTTCTAGTCTATCTTCGATTTACTTGGCGAAGATAAGAACGGTACAGAACATAGTGTAGCTGCCACAGTTGACCAAATCTATTCGAAAATGGATATTAATGGGGATAATAAATTGTCGAAGGAAGAATTTGTTAACGGCTGTCTAGCAGACGATTATCTAAGAAGATTATTAGCACCGGGATCTAACTAAAATGATGGAAATGATATAAGGTGCAGCTAATTCAAAATTGCAGTAAACTTTTTTCTGACTTTATTATACATATTCTGATTCAACCCATCGAGCTGATCTCAAATATCGCCATCGCAGCTCTTAAAAGCTCTTTCTTCATGGAGAAAAATGTGAAAAACTGTGAAGACCTAAAAAGCCTCAAAAATTGACCCTCATCATAAAAGTAATTTTTTTAAAGTTGTATTGCAAGCTAGAAAATTCTAACTATACTTTGCTGATTCCGCGTCAAAAACTTCAAAAAAACAAATACCCTCATTTTCGAGCGAATTCCGTTTAAATTTATACTCCGATTTTTGAGAGATATAGGAAGTGCTTTCAGCTATACTTTGATACTACCTTCTATCCTATGTCACCCG